ATTTTCACGGTAGCACCCCAAATCAGTTTCGCAAAGTAAAAATGTTTTAGTTTTCAAAGACTTTGCGAATAAATGCGCTACTCTGATTTGCTAGTAAGGTGGGGTGTTACACTCTTCCCCTTTCCGAGCTCCTTCCCTCAGCTGATTGGTAAGATCCGAGCCCTTTCAGTCAATCCATACTTTGGAAACTCGCTTAGAAGACAACTACTCCTCATCTCCACTAGGCGGAAGGAAGACACACAGAAAAGCGGGAGCCCTCCCCCCCTTCTTAAAGAGAGACTGTTGAAACCCGATCTCATAAACTTCCTTTCATTAAAAAATTCTTGCACGGCCGCACGAATCGTCTTTGCAGCGCTGAATAAATGTCGTACTTCAAACAGAAGAACATATCCAATATTTTCGCGTCTTTGACTTCACTTCGCTTCGCTTCGTTTGTATAGTCGAGCAAAGCGAAGAAAAGATGGGAAATGGAATGATGGCATCGACTATGACTTCACTTCTTCCTTCATCGGAAATCTAGCCAGTGCTTTCCATTAGGTGTGCAACGAAGGATAACCTTGCTTTTCTTCTGATTCAGATCAGTCCAAAGATAGAGACAAAAGAAAAGGTAATTATTGAATCGGACTTGGCTTCTTTTTCGGCATGGGAAAAGGTTTGGCAATTCCACCATTAGGAAAAGGTTTAATCGGTAAATGGTATCCTTGGGGAAAGGGACCTGCTTTTAGGAATGTTTGTTATTGGGAAAAGGAAGACTTTCCTCGGCTCGTAGAAAACTTTGCACTAGGTTGAAGCTTCTCTTTCTGCGTTCGCTGATCGGAGAGTCATGAACAAGAAAAAGAAGTCCGATCTTTACTCCTTCAGTTCCCATCTATCAATCAATGTTGTTCACGGTGCAACATGTCATGAGGACTTCATGAAGGTTGGAGATGCTCAGTATGTTACATATCGAGATGCTTGCTACGAAAGGGGTTTGTTAGAGGATGATAGAGAGTACATAGACGAAATCACTGAAGCAAGTCAGTGGGCATCTGCAGACTCTCTGAGACGCATGTTCGCATCATTGTTGGTTTCTGGTCCCTTCGGTAGACCGGAGGAGGTATGGACAAGATGTTGGCAATCTTTGTCGGATGACATTCTTTACAGACAGCGGCGACTGTTAAACAATGATGGTATTTTATTATATTAGTTATATTATCTTTTCATATACAAATTTATATTATTTTTATTGTTGTGATGCTCACTCATCTTTATTTGTTTCGAATATTAGGTTTGTTGCTTACCCAAGAGCAAATCCTGAATCTAGCCCTTGCTGAGATTGAGTATTTATTGCGACGGCGTGGATCAAGTCTTAGTGATTATTCTACTATGCCCTTTCCTGATAGCGACATCATGCATTTAAATTCAAATCGTCTGATTTTGGATGAGCTGGGTTACGATCGAAAGGCTCTTGCTGCTGAACATGCTATGCTTCTTGAAAAAATGACTGATGAACATAAAGGAGTCTACTCAACCATTATGTCATCCGTCGATTTTGGTCAAGGCGGTGTTTTTTTGTATACGGATATGGTGGAACGGGAAAAACATTTTTGTGGAGAACGTTATTTGCTGGCTTGAGATCCAAAGGTCGTATAGTGTTGTGTGTTGCATTGAGCGGAATAGCATCACTTTTGTTGCTTGGTGGATGAACTGCTCATTCTCGATTTGGAATACCATTGAATCCCCACCAGGAGTCTTCTTTCAATATCACTCAGGGAAGCCCTCTTGCCGTATTGATAATACGTTGTTCTTTGATAATCTGGGATGAGGCTCCAATGATGCACAAGCATTGTTTCGGAGCTGGACAAGCATCGTTGCAAGATATTATGGGAGCAATTGATCCTTCTAAAAAGGACAAACCATTTGGAGGCAAATCAGTTGTTTTTGGTGGAGATTTCCGACAAATTCTTCCTGTAATTCCGAAGGGTAGCCGTCAGGATATTGTGAATGCTGCGATTAATGCTTCTGACATATGGAGGAGTTGTACTGTGCTCAAGCTTATAAAGAACATGCGTCTACAGAGTCTTAGAGATTCCGAGGAACGTGAGGAGGTTGCTCGGTAAGTTGAATGGATTGCGAGCATTGGTGATGGAACCATAGGAGGGTCAAACGATGGTTGTGCAATGATTGACATACCTGATGATATATTGCTTCAACCATCCGATGATCCGATTGCTCAGATTGTAGAAAGCACGTATCCAATATTTAAGCAAACAATCGATGATCCCAGTTATTTGAAGGACATGGCAATATTAGCACCGATGCTTGATGTTGTTGAGTCGTCAATGAATACATGACATAATTTTTCAGACGGTAATACGTACTTGAGCTCTGACAGTACTTGCAAGTCCGACTCGAATAATGATTTTCTTTCTGATATCCATATGCTCGAGTTCTTGAATAGTATCAAATGCTCAGGAATTCCTAATCATCAGTTGCATTTGAAGATTGGAACCCCCGTCATGTTGTTGCGGAATATGGATCATTCTATAGGTTTATGTAACGGGACACGATTGGTTGTGACAAAACTATCTGCACATGTTCTTGAGTGTAAGATACTCACTGGGGATCATGAAGGCGAGAAGGTGTTGATTCCTAGAATGACTATAACTCCTTTCGATGTCAGAATTCCTTTCAAGTTCCAGAGGCGACAATTTCTCGTTATAGTTTTGTATGCCATGACTATCAACAAGAGGCAGGGACAATCGCTATCGCATGTTGGGTTAATGCTTAAGAAGCTGGTGTTCAGTCATGGGCAATTATATGTTGTCGCCTCCCGTGTCACCAATTGAATTGGGTTTTTTTTTTTTTT